TTTTTTTTTTAATTTTTAGTTGTAGTTGGACATAGTAACTTTATTTTATTTTATGTGGTGCTAAGGATCGAACCCAGGGCCTCGCACATACTAGGTGAACACTCTACCTCTGAGCCACGCCCCCAGCCCCCAGACCTTTTAATTGTTTATTTTGAGACAGGATATTGCTAAGTTGCTGAGGCTGGCCTCAAACTTGCACAATTCCTGCCTTAGCCTCCCATTTGCTGGGATTGCAAGTGTGCACCACCACACCAATCGGGAAGGTATTTTTTAATTGGAAGAGAAACTACAGGAAATAATGTTGTAAATGCCTTGTATGGAACAGGTTCACTGGCAGATTTCTTTCAAAAGATATCACAAAAACTAGAATCATTAAACAAAAGGGTAATGGTTTATGTAACTTTAATGATACCTGTTCAATGAAAACAAACCCAACTTGCAAAACAGTATGTAAAACATAAATCCACTTCTCTCTACCCACCTTTTAAGATAAAATATGTTTGAATGTAGTGACTGTCTTCTTAGTTCTTTCTTGTAAACCATATTGAAAACACACAGGATGGTGGGATGAGTCCATTTCCATGAGTGGTGGGTTGGAGAATGCGAAGAATGGATGAGTGAAACAAGTGAGCAATTGACATGTCATGTGGACCCAGCTATGTTCATGATAGCGTCTGCTGGCTAGCTTTGTTAGTGCCACCTCTTTTTAATTTCCTTCATGAGGGTTAACATGACTCACAAAGTATTTGATCCAGTAGAAATCATTATCTGTTGTTATTCCTACTGCTATCAGTATGTTTGTTTTTAAAGGGGGTGTGGGCTTGTTTACATATTGTTTTCTGAGTGACCTAATACTGTTTCATGCAGCTGCCACTTTATGGACTTTGCAGTGCTATCTAGTAGAACTTTATGTGGTAAGGGAACTGTTCTGTGTCTATACTGTCCCAATAAGTCAGGGTGCCTATTGCAGTGTGGTCAGTGCAGCTGAGGAACTAAAGATTTAATTTAAATTGTCACATTATAAATTTATAATCTTGTTCCATATAATATTACTTGATTTGCTTTTTTGATTAATATGTCATACATTTTCAGTGACTATTAAATGGTAGGGTCACAATTATATCATTTTATCCTTTACATTTAGAAGTTGATGTTTTTGGTATGTTTCAAAGTAAGGGTTATAGAAATAATATTTTAGAGAGATTTCTTTGTCCAGATTATTTTTAGGGATGTGATGGTTCTGCTAAATTGTTTTCATTTATTCTAGGAATTCAGGAGATGGCCAAAAGCCTATTCTTGGACTCAATACCATATTACTGTGGCATGTGTCATTACCTAGTCCCCTTGAAAATAGTGACCCACTGTTTGCTCAATTCATAATCACTTGCATGCTGTTAGTCATACTTTCTATCCCCCAAGTCCTAATTAAGTAGCAGAACACATTTTAGGTGCTTAGTAGTCACATGTGGCTGATGGCCACCATACTGACCAGCACAGATGTGAAAAATCTGAATGATTTTTTTTTTACACTGTCAAGTAGCCCACAATTTAGACATTGTACCTGATAGCTGTGAAACACTCATTGTTTCCAGTGCAAATGGAACTTTTACAGAGGCAGACCATATGCAAGGCCATTAGACACACTAATCAAACATTAAAGTCTCAGAATATACTGTGCCTACATCTGAGTTACATTTGAAGACAGTAACAATAAATTACCTAAAAAACCTATATATCTGGAAGCTAAGCAGTACACTTCTAAATAACTTATGGGGCAAAGAAGGAACCTTCTGGAAAATTAGGAGTTTTAAACTAAATGATAATGAAAATATGCCACATCAAAAATTTTAGGCTGTAGCTAAACAAGCAGAGGGAAGTTTTTTTTTTAACTATATTAAAATGGAAAAAAGCATTAACAACAACATGGATGGAACTGGAGATCATTGTGTTAAGTGAAATAAGCTAGGCACAAAAAGAAAATTGCCACATGATCTTATGTGTATAACCTAAAAAGGTTAGTTTCATAGAAATTGAGTAGAATGGTGATTACAAGAGTCAGAGAAAGTAGTGGGGAGGGAGGTATCGAGGGATGGTGGTCAGTGGATACTAAACAGGAGTAAGAAGTTCTGATGTGCTATTGCACTATAGGAGGACTGTAGATAATCATATAATTAAAATTATTTTTGTAATGGAAGCATCAAGCCAGGCATGGTGGCACACACTTGTAATACCAGCAATTTAGGAGGCTGAGGCAAGAGTATTAAGGTTCAAGGTCAGCTGGGCATGGTAGCAAACACCTGTAATCCTAGCAATTTAGGAGGTTGAGGCAGGAAGATCATGAGTTCAAAGCCAGCCTCAGCAACTTAGAGAGGCCCTATCTCTAAATATAAAAAAGGACTGGGGATATGGCTCAGTAGTTAAGTGCCCCTAGCTTCAATTACCATTACCAAAAAAAAAAGTTCAAGGACAGCCTGGGCAGCTTAGCAAAACTCTGTCTCAAAATAGAAAATTTAAAAAGGGCTGGGGATTACCTCAGAAGTAAGTGCTGGGTTCAATCCCAGTACTGTTTAAAAAAAAAAAAAAAAGACAGTCTCAATTTTCTTGAATTCAAATTTATTTTAGTATTCTCATGTGCATCCTTTGAAAAATAATTTAACCTGTTGGGAGAAAGAATTTGTAAACATTTTATAAACCCAGCAAGCAGCTGTGTGCATCCCATTGAGGATCTCTGTTACGTTAAGAACTGTGTCATTTTCACAAAAATTATCAACTCTCGGGGACCTGTATAATGTCATGAACTGGGAAAAAATGAACATTAAATAAAACATTGAATTTTTTTCTTACAGGTTTATTGACAAGAAGGAAAGGTTAAGTCAACTTAAGAGCAAGCAAGAAGAATTTCAAAAAGAGTGAGTTTTTTAATTTGATTTTTGATTTGTGAAGGTTATCTGTCACCACTTGGTTTAATTCATTGCTAAGATATGCAGATATAATGTTTGTTAACTTACTTAGTTTAGCGCATAGTCTTTTAAAGTTTGGGAAAGGAATATATCTGAGAAAGGTAAAGCAGGGGATATCAGGCTTCTAGAAAACATCAGCCCCAGACCTGGTGCCTGGCAAATGTTTGGATGGATGAATCAAACCCCATGCCTTTCTTATTGACGTGTGGCATGTGGGCTCACAGTAGTAGGCTTGCTTAGACTTAAATTGATACTGGTGGCTCCCATAGGATCTTGGTGCTTTCATTGACCTCTCCTCTTCTGTTCAGTGTTGGGCCAATTGTGGTCTGCAGATCATCTTTGTCAGAATTCAGTCATTTGAGATAACAGTTTTTAAAAATGCAGATTCTTAGAATCATATCCTGAGCCATTCTGATTTTGTAGGTCTGGGGCAAGGCCTGAGAATCTGAGATGTTAGTGAGTATTCTAATCAATGAACTACATTCTCAATCCTTTTTATTTTGAGAAAGGGTCTAAGTTGCCCAGGTTGGCCTTGAACTTGTGATCCTCCTTGACTCAGTTTCCCAAGTAGCTGGGATCGCAGGCATGTACCACTGTATCCAGCCTAGTTTAGATTTTTTGAAATAATCTCTTTCCTCTCTCTCCATCATTAATCTCAGCTAGTAGAGTTGAAATTTATTCTGATGTGACTAGGTTGATGATTAGCTACTTCTAGTATTTTGGGGAAGTAGCTCTTATCTAAACATGATTCCACATGCCCCATATTTTTCAAGACAACCTCAGTTTCAAGTATTTTATTCCACTTTTCAATAGAATTTTTGTTTTTGTTTTTTGGCGGGGGGGGGCAATACTAGTGATTGAGCCCAGGGACACTCCATCACTGAGCCATATCCCTGGTCCTTTCTAAATGTTTTCTTTTGAGACAGGATCTCATTAAATTGACTATGCTGGCCTTGAACTTTTGATCCTCCTGCCTCGGCCTCCTGAGTTGCTGGGATTACAGATGTGCACCGTCACATTCCCAGCTTCTTTGAAGAGATCTTAAAACATTAAATTTTTTCCTGTGAAGTCTCACATTTACTTCATTACTATGGGCTGAATTATTTTCTTACCCATTTTGGATGTTGAAAGCCTATGCTCAGTATCTCAGAATGTGACTGCCCCTTATAGGGGTTTTCTCCAAAGGCTTCCTAAAGTAGGCCAACATGGAGGTCTAATTCTGCAGATAAAAATAACTGACATTTTTGCCAGTGAATCCCAAAGTGGGGTCTGATCCCCTAAAGAGAGTTTGCTGTGATTTGAATAAACACATTGGTGAACAAATAAAATATTCTTCATTAGAGAAACCTGCTTGAATTTATTTAACTCATTTTCTTTATTACTGGATCACAGGAACTATATTTTTTTTTCCATAGAATACTTTATTCCATAGGACAAAATTTTAGAGTTGCTGGTTCATGCCATTTGGGAAGTAAGCATCATATTTTAGATTATGAATTCTCTTACAGCTGTCATCATTATTTTTTGTGGCAGCAGGGAAGTAGTGAACTTAGTGGTACTCAGTCTCTGAGCCACATCCCCAGCCCTATTTTGTATTTTATTTAGAGACAGGGTCTCACTGAGTTGCTTAGTGCCTTGATTTTGCTGAGGCTGGCTTTGTACTCTCAATCCTCCTCCCTACATCTCTCCAGCTGCTAGGATTACAGGCATGTGCCACTGTGCACAGCATCATTAATTATGACTGGAAATTATTGATTATGCCTAAAGACAACAGGAACTTCATAGAACTTTATTGGGGATTTCTATAGTAAGGCTCTTGGCAGTGTTAGAAGTACAGAAAGAAAAGAGCAAAGGAGAACTATGGAGAACAAGGAATTTGGGAAATACTTGAAATGCCAAGTTCCACTTTAGTATTTCTAGCCATTTCTAAGTCCTTATGTATTTTTGTGGTACTAGGGCTTAAATCCAGGGGCAATTTACCACGGAGCTACATCCCCAGTCCTTTTTATTTTTTGTTTTGAGATGGGGTCTTGCTAAGTTCTGAGGCTGACCTTGAAGTTGTGATGCTCCCCCATCAGCCTCCTGAGTCACTGAATTATAGTCATGTGCCACTGTACCCAGCTTATTCTAAAAAGTTGATTTTACACTTCCAAGTTTCACAAAATTCTATTAAAAATTTGTTTTCTGTTTTTTATCCCTACAGGGTATTAAAAGCTATGGAAGGAAAATGGATAACAGATCAGTTGGTAAGTTCTAAGAAGAATTTATATTAATATTCTATTAATATTCTTTATACCTGAGGCTACATATTTTTAAGTTGGTGAAGCTTCAAAGTAATTTTGAATTTAAATTATTTTTTATTACTTTTGGAAGTCTTTTTTTTTAAACAGGCAAAGTACAGATTTATTAAAAAGTGGAGTGAGAAAGAGAGGCTCAAGCCTGGAAGTCCTGTTCTTACATATGTTTATGTAGCCCTCTTCGACATTTCACCTACATTCCCAAAACAGAATATGGGCATATAATTGTGGAGCCATGAAAGAGTAACTGAAGTTTGGTGTAGATATAGAAACAAAAACAATGACCTATTCTTTTTGCAGAAATTATTCATAGTAAACACATTCCAGGTGGATCAATGATTAAATTAAATATGTAAACCCATACAAATGTTAAAGAATGCAAGAGTATTTTTGTAACCTGGGGGAGTGTGGGATCTTTATAAGCCATAGGGTAAAGTAACTGGACAGATTATATATACAAGTTAGAAGGTTCTGTGTTAAAAACACTAAACAAAATTAACAGACTGAGCAAAACAACATAGGAAATAAGGAGTTTGATAAAAGTGACAACTCTTAACACTTCCATCCACATTGGTGGGAGTATCCATGAGCACATTTGATTTGGGGACAGTTTTGTGGCGGTTTTTAAAGAGCACATATCATATATCCATCCATTTTCCTCCTAAGGAAATGCACCTAAAGGCATAGATTTATGGATAAAGAAGCAGGCTATCCGCATCCCTGGTGGTAAAGTTAATGTGTGAATACTCTAAATGTTCATCCATCAGTAGGAGATAAAAAGCTATCAAAGTATGAAGGTTGGAAAAAAAAGTGGTCTTTGTATTTCTGTATTGAAAGGTCACTTTCACTGAACCCCATAAATATATACAACTACCATGTCAATTAAATTTTTAAGATTTTTTTTAAAAAAGTGATTGATTTACATGTGTCAGTATGGAAGTATGTCCAAGACATTTTTTTTTTACAGCATCTTTTTTTCCACCTTTATTTTATTTATTTATTTTTGTGTGGTGCTGAGACGAGAACCCAGTGTCTTTCATGTACTAGGCAAGTACCACTACCACTGAGCCACAACCCCAGCCCCCAAGATGCATTTTTCTTTTTCTTTTTTTTTTTTTTTTTAGAGAGAGAGAGAGAGAATTTTTTAATATTTATTGTTTAGTTTTCAGCGGACACAACATCTTTGTTTGTATGTGGTGCTGAGGATCGAACCCGGGCCGCACGCATGCCAGGCGAGCCTGCTACCACTTGAGCCATATCCCCAGCCCAAGACACATTTTTTTTTAATGAAAATGGAAGGTGAAGCTAAAGTACGATTCCATTTGTTGTGGGTATTTTATTTTGTTGTTGTTGTGAGTGTATTTTAGATGTAAATATTTTCTAAAAAGAAAAAATACTCATCAAACTTAAATTTTGGAGATGGCCTTTTGAGGTTGGGAGCTGAGCTTAGCGGAGGAATGGGTGCTTAGCATTCAAGAGGCCCTAGGTCTGAGCACAGCATATACATACATGAACACAGAGATTCCACTACTGAAGAGGAAACAGGCTAACAGTCACATTTCTTTTTTTCCTTCTGCAATGTTTGATTCTCCCACACCTCATACAATAATCATCATAATTTTTTATGATGCATACTTTTTTACACATGCATAGTTTTTTACAAATAATATTTATAATAAAGGTGAATATTGCTTATGCTGTGAATGAAATGAGTAGACAAAATCTGAGAAATTTTTCTAAATTCTCTATTGTCAAAAACTTCAATATTGCCATTTTTTTACATTTTTTAAAAATATTTGCATTCTAGTTGTACATGATGGGATTTGTTGTACGTTTGTACATGCACATGATATAACAATATAATTTGACCAGTAATAAAACTCCATTGTGTATATAAAACCATATTTTCTTTATTAATCCATTGATGGACACCTAGGCTGGTTCCGTAGTTTGGCTATCGTGAATTATACTGCTATAAACATGGGTGTGCATGTGTCACTGTAGTTTGATGACTTGAATTCTTTAGGATAAATACAGAAGTGAGGTAGCTGGGTCACATGGTGGTTTCATGCCTAGTCTTTTGAGGAACCTCCGTACTGATTTTCATAGCAGTTTTACTAATTTACAGTTCCACTAACAGCGTAAAAAATGTTTCTTTTTCTCCACATCCTTTCCAGCATTTATTGTTTGTATTCTTGATTGCTGTTAGTATGTGAAATCTCAGTGTAGTTTTGGTTTGCATTTTCCTAATTGCTGATAATATTGAACATTTTTCCATATACTTGTTGACTGTATTTCTTTTAAAGTGTTTGTTTAATTCATTGTCCATTTATTAATTGGGTTACTTGCTTTGTGTGTGTGTGTGTGTGTGTTTGTATATTCTAGATATTAATCCTCTCAGAAGGACTAGCAAAGATTTTTCTCCCATTTTGTAGGTTCTCTCTTTGCATTTCAATTATTTATTTATTTGTTTGTTTTGCTGTGCAGAAGCTTTTTAATTTGATGTTGTCCCATTTATTAACTCTTGGCATTATTTCCTGAGCTTTAGGAGTCCTATTGAGAAGGTCATTGCTTGAACCTATATGCTGGAGTGTTGACCCTATGTGTTTTTCTAGAAGTTACATTGTTTCTGGTCTAATTTTGGGTCTTTGATCCATTTTGAGTTGATTTTTGTGGAGGGTAAAATACAAGGGTCTAGCTTCATTCTTGTACATACGGATAACCAGTTTTCACAGCACCATTTTTGAAAAGGTTATCTTTTCTTCAATTTATTTTTGGCACTTTTGTCAAAGAACAAATGACTGTAGATGTGGGGTTTGTCTCCGTGTCTTCTGTTCTGTACCATTGATCTATGTTTCTGTTTTCATGCCAGTACCATGCAGTTTTTGTTACTATAGCTCTGAGTATAATTTGAAGTCAGATATTGTGATACCTCCAGCAATGCTGTTTTGCTTAGAATTGCTTTGGCTATTCTGGATCTTTTATTCTTCAAAATGAATTTTAGGACTGTTTTTTCTAGTACTGTGAAGAATGTCATTGATATTTTAAGGGAGATTGCATTGAATCTGAATGTTGCTTTTGATAGTATGGACATTTTTAACAATATTAATTATGCCCATCCATGAATATGGGAAGTTTTTTCATTTTCTGAGGTCTTCAATATTTTTCTTCAATATTCTGTAGAGTAGTTTCATTGTAGATAGAGGTCTTTCATCTCCTTGGTTAGATTTATTCCTGAGATTTTTTTTTTCTTTTGAGGCTATTGTGAATAGAGTTGTTTTCCTGATTTTTTTTTCAGCAGAGTCATGATTGGTGTATAAGAAAGCTGTTGATTTTGTAACCTGCTACTTTGCCAAATTTGTTTGTTAGCTATTAGCTATAGCAGTCTTGGGTGGAGTGTTTTGGAACTTCTAGTTTCAGATCATCTGTAAACAGTGATAATTTGATTTCTTTCTTGCCTATTTTTATCCCTTATATTTTCCTTCTCTTGCCTAATTGCTCTGGCTAGAATTTCTAGTCAGTATTGATTCTTAAAAACCACTACCTTTTAGAATGAAAATCTTTCAGGGCTAGGGGTGTAGCTCAGTGGTAGAATACTTGCCCAGCATGTGCACCTGGGTTTGATCCCCAGCACCCCCCTGCCAAGGTCTCGGCTTGGCACCAGAATCACGAGCCACCACACAGCTTTGTAGGTTCAAACAGCAATTCTTTATTCCAGCTCTCACACCGCCTTCACATAGGTCCAGGGGCATTCTGCTGTCTCCCGCACAATTCACCTACCTATCTCCAAATCCCATTTTAATCTCAGGAGAACTCAATGGGAACAAGCAGCAGGAACACCCTAATCCCAGCAATAATCTTCAACTTCCAACTTCCCTAAAACCCATTATCTTAAACGACTCAAGGAGCCGGTTACTTCCTCAAACCTGATCAGCTCTAAACCCAGATCCCCCTTGGTCCTTGAGCAAGGTCACCTTATTAAAGCATGCATGCAATGTCCCATCGAATGTCCTCTAAGCAGCATGGGTTACGCTTGGCAAGGAAATTTCGATGCATCATTCCTACTTGGTAATGGCCCTCAGCACCCCCCCCACACATACACACACAGCAGCAGTGAACTCATTTCCAATTTATTTCTGAACTTGTCAGTCCCTCTGAGTCCATTCTTTTTTTTGGAGTTGCTTAACTACCCTGACACATCCCCCCCCCCTTTTTTTGCTTTGAGACAGGGTCTCGCTAAGTTACATAGAGCCTTTCTAAGTTGCTGGAGATTGCCTCAAACTTAGATCCTCTTGTCTCAGCCTCCTAAACTGCTGGGATTACAGGTGTGAGCCACTGCACCCAGCTAAATCTGTTCTTGAATGTCTCTTTGGGTTCATTGGATAGAATAAAAGTTCCCCCTCTGTCACTTCCCTACAGCCTGTTTTGTGTCTTTTGCCATAGACTACTTAGATAACTATTAATGCTATACACATTGGAACATTGTTGTAAGCTTTTAAGTGTCCATATTTATGGAGGTATTAGAAAGTAATCATACTGTTTAACTTAAAGTATGGTCCCATTTTTTTTTTTTAATCTTTTATTCATGTTAGGGGTAGCTATTACCTGGCTGTGCCATTCCTAGTGATATAAGAAGGTAATTTCACTGGGCACAGTGGCACATACCTGTAATCCCAGTAATTTGAAAGGTTGAGGCAGGAGGGTCACAAGTTCAAGGATAGCCTCAGCAACTTAGCAACAGTTCAAAATTTTAAAAAATGCTGGGATGTGGCTCATTGGTAAAATGCCCTTGGATTCAATCCCTGGTGTCAAAAAATAAATAAATAGTCAATTTCATGTTTCACATAATTTTCTGAGCATTTCAGAAAATTGTTACTTGTTATACACTTTAAAAATAAAACTGGTTTCAGTGCAGTTTTTATTTCTATGCCCTGCATAGGAATAATTTACTTACTGTGTGAGATCATACAGTAATGTTAAAAGTGTCTTAGTAACCATCACTCAAAGTGTAGATCAGTGCATCAATAAGATTTTTTGTAATGATGCAAATATCCTTTGTCTCCACCCTCCAAAATGATAGCACTAGCTATGTGTGGTGTTGACCTTTTGACACGTGGGTAGACTAAGTAAGAAACTGATGTATTTTTCTTTGATGTAATTTTAATTGAGTTTTAAATAGCCGCATGTGACTAGGAGCTAGCTGTATACTGGATAGAGCAAGTTAAGAATTTTCAACATTTTTCTTTTTGCTCATTGACACATGGAAAAGAACTTTGAATTTCTTTCTCAATCTCCTAGCAGCTTTTGCATTGAACCAGAAAAATATTTTCTTTTTTGTAATCTACCATAGTTACGATACCTATACTAGATATGATTATGTTGCTCATTTTATTATGTTTTCTAATATATGCATGAAAATAAGTAATGATCCTAGATAATCATATTAATCATAAGAGATTAATGTTTGATATATGCCTTTTTCCAGAGATGGAAAATAATGTCTTGTAAGATGAGGATTGAACAGCTAAAACAAACCATATGTAAAGGAAATGAAGAAATGAAGAAAAGTAAGTAGTTTCCCTCCTTCTATCCAGTCCTGGTAAAGGGCTTATGTGGAATTTCATGGGATTAATAAACTAAAGGAATGGCAAAAGAGAGACAGGATAACAGCAATATCCACTTGGAAAAATTTACAAGTTGAGCATCTCATACTTGCAATGCTCAGGACTAGAAGTGTTTCAGATTTCCGATTTTTTTTTTAATTTTTGCATTTACATTAATGAGATATCTTGGGACTGCATCCCATGTCTAAACAAAAAAATTTCTTTGTTGCATATATATATTTTATACACATATTGTAGAGATAATTTTATGCATTATTTTTAATGTGTTTGTCTTTTGGCTGTGACTTGTCTCATTAGGTCAGGTGTGGAATTTTCTTTTTGTGGCATGGTATTGATTCTCAAAAAGTCTTGGATTTGTAGTGTATTTTTTAATTTCAAATTTTCTTATCAGGTATGCTCAACCTGTACTTGCATTCCCTTCTTCTTATAAGACAGTCGTATAAGGAATTATATAAACATACCATTTAGAGCCCTTCAGGAACCTGCTATTCTTCCAAGTTAAAGTTAAGGAAGTGCTCACCTGGGCATGATGGCATATGCCATAATCCCAGCAACTCCATAGGCCAAGGCAGGAGGATTGCAAGTTCAAAACTGACCTCAGCAAATTAGCAAGGCCCTGTCTCAAAATAAAAAGGGCTGAGGATGTGGCTCAGTGGTTAAGTGCTCTGAATTTCAATTCTTATTACCAAAAAATAAATTAAATAAATTAATAAAAATAAAATAAAAAATAATCTGTGTGCAGTGAGTGGCATGTCTGTAATCCCAGTGACTAGGGAGGCAGAGATGGGTGGATTGCAAGTTTGAGGCCAGCCTCAAAAAAGTTAGGCCCTAGGCAACTTAGTGAGACCCTGTCTCAAAACAAAGAAAAAGGCCAGGGATGTAGTTGTTAAAAGCACCTCTGGGGCTGATGTTGTGGCTCAGTGATAAGAGTTCTTGTCTAGCACATGTGAGGCACTTGGTTCGATCCTCAGCACCACATAAAAATAAATAAAGATACTGTGTCCAACTACAACTAAAAAAAAATTTTTAAAAAGCACCTCTGAATTCAATCCCCAGTAAAATAATAATAATAATAATATGATGATGATAATGATGATGAAGATGACGATGAAGACAACGACAACAATGAAGAAGAAGAAGAACAACAACAACTAGGGAGCTTAGTAGTAGCTTAGTGGTAGTGGCTCCTGGGTTCAATATCTAGTACCACAAAAAGGAAAGGAGAACAAAAAGGAAGGGCCAAGCATGTAGTTCAGTGGTAGAGCACATGCTTTGCTCTTGGTTTGACCCCAGCATCACAAAATGAAAAAGAAAAGGGGAGCAAATACTTCTTAATTCCTTAGTTAATAGGAAACTGGGTCTAACTTGGTATTCACTTATAATAATCATTAGCTCATGCCAGAAGCACAGTATACTGACTTTTTCCTCTTAGTGAATCTCCTACATATTTTAATCTGTATAGATTTTACATTACATTTGAATACTTCAATCTTAAGTGGTTGTCAAAATTTGAGTACTTTTAGCAATCCTACATCCTTAGAAACATGTATTTTTGAAGATGAATGTTTTAAAGTTTAGAATGAGTCACCTTTTACCTTGTGAATCCCTTTGTCTTTGTTGCTTTCAGAAGCATCAAAGTATTTTATAGTGGCATGTAATGGAGTAAAAGCTTCCTTTGAAAACGTTCTAATGTGTGGAGTTGCAAGCTAGAGAAGCAGGGCAGCATGGAGCAAGTGGTGCTCAGAGCTACAGTCAGCCAGTGATCCACTGCATTTGGCTTGCATTCCTCCAAGTTTTGGGTTCCATAGCAGCATAGGCACTTATTACTTAACATTAGTTCGCCTTTTTACCCCTTCCTTCCATGGTGTTCAGACTAGGGTTTGCCACCAGCCATCTGTTTGTGAAGTTATTTGTGAAGTGTAGAATGTACTGAGCATGCACATTTCTCTGATAAGCAAGTTGAAAGCTTTGGTCAGCTCTTTTTAGCAGGTTCCCAAACCCCAAAACAAAAACACCCGCCACAGAAAATAAAAAACATGGTTCTAAAGCAGTGCAGTCTGTGACAATGGTTTTTGTTTCTAGCAAATTGTCAGTCACTTGGTAACTATGTTAAACTATAGAGAGAAAATCCTGGGATCCCCCTAGACTTAGAAAAATAATCACACATTTGAACGTTGTGGCAATATTGTGTTGCCCTGTTGAAGAAAAATGATTCTACATGATTATTCTGAATTTATGTACTTCCCTCGCCTGCCATGGGTATTAGGGATGGAACCCAGGGCCAAGTACACCAGCAAGACCTGTTCTCTTGCCATGATTGGCAACAGTTTTCAGGCCATCCCAGATCCGTGGGCCTCATTTTGAGTAGTATGGCTGCCTGCCAGGGTAGGGAACTGTTGCTCTGTAAATGAGGTCTTATTCCCACCTTCTAGGCCATACTCTCACAATTTTGTGAAAAATTTTGAAGGAGTTGATTCCAGAAGTAATCTTGGTCTCAGCTCATGAATTAAGACCATGCCACCCAATAGCCTGTTTGTTTTTAACCTGTGATGTTGGACTATCACAGGTATGAAAGAAAGGGCACAGATGATAAACTACAAAGCCTGATGACTCACTTCACAATTTTTCAGTTTTAGAGTTAAACAATATAGTTAAATACAGATATCTGGCATAGATAAGGAAGTTAAATTATATAACAGTTGTAGGGTTGAGTTTATCTGTGCTGCAATCAGTTACTTATTTAAAAATGCAAGATTAGATGATAGAATGTTTTCACATTTTGCTGGGCTTAGTGGCATATGCCTGTAATCCAGTGACTCAGGAGGCTGAGACAAGAAGAGAGCAGGTTCAAGGCCAGTTTGGACAAGTTAGACTTATGTAATAAGTCCCAGTCTCAAAATAAAAAAGGATATAGCTCATTGGTAAAACACTCCTGTGTTTAATCTGTAATACCTAAAAGGAAAAAAAAAAAGTTTTGTCATTTTGAGGGAGATGAAAAGGACAGCTCTATGTTCTGGATCTGCACTGGTTGCAGATGTGGTCATGGTGATTTCTTGTCACCTGTGAAGGTTTATAATATTAGGTTTGAAACCATCCCCAAAAGTCTTGACTTAGCACCATGGCTGAACATACTCCTTTGAACATCTGTAAAAGCTCAGTAGAGATCATGAAAAGGGATAAACTTGCTGCATGAGACTGAATCTTTAAGACGTTCTCATTGAGTAGAAATGGTAAAGAGATGCATCTAAGGAAGAGTAAAACCATTAGAAGGAAATCTCATACCTGCAACTGAACAGGTAGGCTGAGAGGTCCTCAGAAAGATACTTAATGCACACACAGATACTGCAGCACACAGGAACTGTTTGCAGAGGTAATTGTGTGGTGTTTATACATTTTAGATTCTGAAGGCCTTCTGAAAACCAAGGAAAAGAACCAGAAGCTGTATAGTCGAGCACAACGGCACCAAGAGAAAAAGGAGAAGATTCAGAGGCACAATCGCAAACTTGGTGACCTGGTAGAAAAAAAAACCAATGACTTAAGAAGTCATTATGAGCGTCTGGCAAGTCTTCGGCGATCCCATATATTAGAGCTCACCTCTGTCATTTTTCCAATTGATGAAGTAAAGACTGGTGTGAGGTACAATAAGCAAGGCTTTTGATTCTAGGAATAGGTGCTCCAAATATTGTTTTTCAAGTTCCAAATATTGTTTTTCAAGCATATATTAAGTGTCATTCTAGGCTCATTGGTTTTCCTGATAATGAATTTTAAGTCTTATCTGCTTCAGCAAACAGTACACTGTGCGAAGTTGGGGAGACAGCCAGGGTGAGGGGCATGGTCCACATATGTGCTCTCATAGAGGTTATATGTGACTCACCCTCCTGGTTAAGACCTACCTGCCGGGTCATGTCAGTTGCATTCCCAGCCAGACCATTAGTTGTTTGCTCTGGGACATGTTGTTGAACATCATCCAAGTCTGATTTCCCTACATATTTAAGTAGGGATGGAAAAATTCCTACTTTGCAGAGAAATCATGACTTGATATGTAGGAAAACACCTAGTGCTGGTTCTCTTAGATGGTGGGTACACATGTTGACTTCACCTTTTCCTGGTAACTGGCTTTTATTATATTAGCTGTTGTCAGTTGAATGCTGTGATTTTAGTCTCAGGCACAAATGCATGGGGATCCTCAGAAATTAGGGATGGACAGACAGTGGTCCCCTACCTGGTTCTTCATCCGAATCACCCATGGGCTTTTGAAAACTAAGGTTCCAGAGGGCACTCTACCAACCTCCCAAGCCATCTCAGAATATGTCTGTAGATGCTGCTGATGATCAGCAGCTTTGGAAACAACTACTGAAGGCTCTTGTGTGCTCTGGCTATTTCCAGTTGAGGATATTCTGTCTATTTTGGCTCCTCGGTCTCCAGCAACGAGGAATCAGGCAGTGAAAGCAACCTTTCTTGCCTGTACTGCAGCGTGGCCTTTGGTCTGTTGCCATAATTGGCTTCCTAAAAACCCAGAGGTCTGATATTTGCTTCCAGGTAATTTGTTATTAGTAAGAGTTAACAAATAGAAAAATAAAAGCACAGATTTTAAATAGAGCAGAATAGGAAGTTCAGAAGCAAACTCTACCAGGACAACTTAGATCAGTGGGGAGAAGTTGGATTGTCCAAAAATTGATACAAGGACAGCTGGCTAAGCCTTTGAGAGGTAGAAGCTGGCTAACTAGAACCTTATGCCAAATGAAATTCTGATGGGTCAACAATATTAGCGTTAAAACATGTCACAATAGAAAAAAAACTAAGGCCCTGTTCCAGATTTTAGGAGACCAACAATTGAATGCAGTGTGTGATCCTATATTGGATCCTGGGCCCACAAAATGCTATCAAAAGACTAATCAGAGCTACAGAGTTGAGTAGTCTGTTAGATGAGTTCATAGTATAGTAGCAGTGTTAATTACCTAGTTTTGATTATTGTATTTTCCTGGGTTGATAATTTGGGGAAGTTGAGTGAAGTGTATGCAGAAAAACTTTAAAATTCTTGCAACTTTCCCATAAGAGAAATTTTCTCAAGAAGAAAACATGTTATATGTCACATAATGACTCTTCAGTCAACAGATTACATATCCAACAGTGGTCCCATAAGATTATGTCACCTTTTGATGTTGTACTGTCTTAATTTGTGAAGTACATTCTTTGATGTTTGCACAGTGATGAAATTGCCTAGTGATAGATTTCTCAAAACATATCCCCTTTGCTGAGTGACATGTGTTGTGTACTAGAAGAGAAAACATGGTGAAGAATTTTCTCTTCTTCTGTGCCTATGCTGGTTTATAATCATTTTTAAACTGTGTATTTTGCAGGTGTAATATTTTTACTGTTTATTATATTTAATGTACCTATAATATTTAAGCTGGTTATTTTGAAGTTATCCATCCATAAAATAAGATTTTCATTCATTTGTATTTCTCTATACTTCTTTGAATGGAGTAGAAAGAGTTAGAAGTATAGTTTAGAACTGGCCACAGTATCCCAGCCCCTAGTCTCATCTGTGATAGCAGCAGGAGTTAACGTGGTGGTGGTATGTTACACAGAAGGAAAAGAGATTGAGAACCACTGGCCACAAGGACAGAATGTTAGCTCTGGAGGCCCTTGTCAGGCTGCTAATTGCTTTTCCTACACTATCTTTTAGCACTTTCTTTTTGCATCTTAACACACCAACCAGTCCAAACAGCTCTGTTCCCGAAGCACACTGTTTCTTTGCCCTCTTTGCATTTGTACCTGCTGTCCTTCTCATGGTTGATTTCTGTTCCACGCTTTAGGCTAGCAGTTCTTAAAAGGTGGTACATGGACCTCTGCAGATTTAAGACGCTGAAGGGAGTCTGTGCTATGTCAAAACTGCCTTTATAGTAATACTAATAAGTTTTCCTTTTTCACTGTGTTGGCAAATGCTGGTGGCTCAAAAGCCATGGTGGGTGTGAATACCTCTGGCAGGAACACTAAACTATAGTAATAGTCATTATAGTCTACTGTATACTTGCAGTTATTAAAAACAGGTAGTTTTACCTAATGTCTTCAGTGCAACAGTGAAAATTATTAATGTTATCATATCTTGACCTTTTAGTGCACATCTTGACCTTTTAGTGCACAAATGTCCAGTAGGATGAAATGGGAAGTGTGCATAAAGCACACTAGCTGCATACTGAGGAACTAAGAGTTAGTTCAGGGGAAGGCACTTGAGTGAGTTGCTTCTTTCTTGAGATACTATTTTTACTTGAAAGAACAACAGAAAGTCTTGAATATTAAAAGATTTTTCAAAAGGGTGAGATGGGACTGGGGATATAGCTCCATTGGTAGAGTGTTTGCCTTGATGCACAAGGCCATGGATTCAATCCCCAGCACCACAAAAAAAAAAAAAAAAGAAAAGAAAAGAAACAATATAACAAAACTGCTAACATCTAATGGTTTTTTCCCCAGCTATAATTCATTTAGGTGTTCAAGCAAACATTAATCCAGCAAGTATTTATTGAGCGTTTAGTATTTCCCAGTGTGTGTCAGCTTTGTTATCACTGGGCGTACTACTTTTTAATGAACTAACTTAAAACTTTACTCATTTTTAATGTCAAATACCATTAAGTATCTGTAGTCCAACCCAGATAAGCAAAATTTATTTGAGATCCTAAAAGTTTGTAAGCATGGGAAGGGGTGTTGGAGCCACATACTTTGAGACCTGAATGTCGGACCCTAGCTCACAGTGCCATCTTCCTCACATTGTGTGACCTTCTATGTCACTTTGATCATCTTCTCAGATGATAAATACTTGTCTGTATTTCAGTTGAAGTCCTGTGCTTACAGGCAACTCTTCAGTATTCTGCTGTGTGTGACAAGTGTCTTGCCTGCCCTCAGAAACCCTATCTCTTGAAATCCATGTGTCTCCTGATTTTCAGAGATCCTGCAGATGTGTCTTCCGAGAGCGACAGTGCCATGACCTCCAGCACTGTCAGCAAGCTTGCCGAAGCCCGGAGGACAACTTACCTTTCTGGAAGATGGGTCTGTGATGATCACAATGGCGACACCAGCATTAGCATTACAGGGCCGTGGATTAGCCTTCCTAATAATGGGGACTACTCTGCCTACTATAATTGGGTGGAAGAGAAGAAAACAACACAGGGGCCCGGTGAGAAATGAAATATCTTTGAAAATTTGTGTGTATCTTGATTGGTGTAAAATTTACATAATTTTTTAAAGTGAACAATTCAGTGGCATTTAGTACACACACCATTGTGGCACTAGCATCTCTGTTCAGATCTTAAAACATTTCCGTTACCCCCAGACTCACTCCATGGCATGAAGATATCACTCCCCCTCCTCCTCCTCCCCAGCTCTAGGCCACCACTAGTTTACTTTCTACCTATAGACAGCCTCTGCAGGACAGCTCATAAACAGAATCATAGAATGTATGGCCTTTGTGTCCACTGCTTTCTCTTAGCTTCCTGTCTTAAGGTTCACATTAAGGTATATATCAGTACTCTACTGCTTTTTTATGGCAAAATAATCCATTGTATGGCTAAACCACATTTTGTTTATTTAGTTTGAAAGCGTGTCTGTTTTTAAATATTTCACTTTTGGGGGTTAATGTTGCTTGATTTATATAAATATAAAAGACCTTATTTTTAAGAAGTGTATTTAGCCTATTAAGTTTCATTTTTAGTTATCACTTTGTACCATGTTTGTTTTAGTAGTCCTAAATGGAAATTGAAATATTCCTAATGGTTTGAAAAATCCTGCACCTTATATCTGGTGGAGAATTGTTCATTTATTCATTCAGCTCACATTTAGTGAGGAAGGGCTATGTCATGCACAGTGCCAATTACTAGTGATAAAAGGTGACTAAGACAGGTGTGACCCTTTGCCCTTCTCTAGGGAGACAGGAAATGGTTTTTTTCCTCCAGCTATAATTCATTTAGGTACTCAAGCATACATGAATGGTCAGTGGCACCATACACTGAGAGGGTGCCATCAGGAGCCAACAGCATAGGGGTACATATAAAGGAAAGGCCTCTCTGGGGTGACATTTAAGTTGGGATTGTTTGAGTGATAACAAAATTATATGTCCAAGCAAATTAGACTTTAATTTTATTTATGTCTGGCCTATTATATTCTTTTGCTTATGTTGCATTTCATTCAGCAAACAATAAAAATGAACCATTTATGTCTGGCCATGGAGTAGGAAGTAAAAAGTTAACAGTGAGGTGATGGTAAAATTACAGATCATAAAATCTCAACCATTGAATATTTTTATTGAGGTTAAAGTTGTTGTATAAATAAGTCTTGCTTTTGTCCTTTAGACATGGAGCATAATAACCCTGCACACACCATTAGTGCTGCCTTGTGTTACGCCACACAGCTGGTCAACATTTTGTCTCATATACTTGATGTCAATCTTCCTAAGAAGCTGTGCAACAGGCAAGTAATTGAAGATGGTGATCTTATCCTTACTGTGGCTCTCTAGAGTTTCTGATTAATTTAAAAATCTGTATACAAATTTGTTTGACAACTGCACATGAAGTCTGAGAAGACCACAGAGAATTGTTCCACTTGAAAAAATAACAAAAGGAAAAATCAGCATATTCACAAGATATGCTGAGATCCTCATATATATGTATATATAAGAGATGGATAAATTGTAAAAGTTGGGAACTTTTGATTTTGTATTTCTTTTTAAGAAAAGAAAAAATTTAAAATTTTAAGTATTTTAAGATACAGTTTACCCAGTTCCCTTTAACATCTTCCTCCCATCCTCCAGGTAATTGCCCTCATATTTCATTTCAAGCAGATGTAAACTTCTTATTACTATCTCTCCATAAACACAAAGATAGCATGCCAAAGTGTTTTGCATTTATATGTTTTTATTTATGTAACACATAATTATTGAACACCTATTGTGTGCAGACACTGGGCACTGGAGTACCTTGAAGACAAAAACAGTCCCTACCCTCTTGGAGCTTACGTTTTAATGAATGGCATCAATAATAAACAGTGTGTGAGGTGGTGATACATGCTGTGGAGAACAATGAAACAGGATGAGAGAGGAGATGTGGCCGCAGGGAAAAGGGCTTTCTGCATTTGAGTGGGCAGGGATGTTGGCACATGTGAGTGTAAGGGAGGAAAGGAACATACCATGGGACTCCTAAGGAAAAATGCTGAGGTAGAGATGGCAGGTGCAAAGCCCTGGGAGGCACGAGTGTTAAGAGCAATGGAAGCAGAGGGCAGCGGGGAGCTATTGTAAGCTTTGGGCTGTCGTTCTGCATAAGTTGGCAGTTGCCAAGTTTTCTCTTCTCTGCATATACCAAGGTCCTACCAGTCCCCTGTTAAATAATGCTTCAAGGAATAATCTCGTACATTTGGCATTTCCTGAGTGTGCAAGTATTTGCATAGAATGAATTCCTGAAATAGAATTACTTGATCAAAGGGTCCACACATTTGTAATTTTGTGTGGATGTAGAGAAATTGCTGTTTACAAGAACAGTACTTTATTCTTAGAAAGTTTCTGTTAATGGCAAAGGACACAGTATGTGCTATATTGAACTCTTCAAAATGAACACTTGAACATAGAATTTCCTCAGAAAAATAATTTACAAATTGTTTTTTAACAGTGAGTTTTGTGGAGAAAATCTCAGCAAACAGAAATTTACTCGAGCTGTGAAGAAACTCAATACAAATATCCTTTACCTTTGTTTTTCTCAGGTATGGAAAATATGCTATAAATTAAATTTTAAAAAATTTGTTGCATAGTTGAAAATATTAACCAACTCTTTGCTTTTTCTAGCATGTAAATTTAGATCAGTTACAACCACTGCATACCCTCAGGAATTTAATGTACCTGGTCAGTTCAAACTCGGAACACCTGGGCAGGTAAGAAGAATGTGTGTTGCTTTTCTTCAGGTATGTTTTTGTGACCATATTGAAGTAGAGGTATCATGTGAACTGGCAGAGTACTCCCTGTTCTCTAGTCTCCAGTCTTCCAAAAAAGACAAAAAGTGTATAGTTCTTCACTGAATGAAACAATAGCTATCATCTTTGAACTTTTATGGTCCTCTTGCACTCATTATTCAGAGAAAATTAGCATCAAACATATGTATCACCTAAAATGCAGTAGAAGAACCCAAATATTCCTGGGATAGGCCCACCTTGTGCTTTCCAAGAACCAAGTGTCTCAGTCTGGAAAAGCTTGAATTAGATAAGGCTCATCTTTGCTACCCCTGCTCTAGGTTCATACCCTTTTTTCCTTGCTGTAGCAGTATACATTTCTGCTGAGATGGGCTATGGCTAATGTATTCACACTTTTGAAAGACAGCTCAAAGAAAAATAGGATTTGTGGTAGATGATTTTGTACAATTGTAAGCTAATATAAGTGCTTTGAGTGTTTAATATAGGCTAGACTAAGCTATGCTGTTTAGTAGATTAGGTATATTAAATGCATTTTTAACTCAGTATTTTTAGCTTATTGATTTATTGGGGTATGACTCCATTGTAAGTTGAGCATGTGTTTATTTATTTATTTATTTTTTAGAAAGAGAGAGAGGGAGATAGAATTTTTTTAATATTTATTTTTTAGATTTCGGCAGACACAACACCTTTGTTTGTCTGTAGTGCTGAGGATTGAACCCAGGCCACATGCATGCCAGGCGAGCGTGCTACCGCTTGAGCCACATCCCCAGCCCTTGAGCATGTGTTTAAAGAAAATGAATAACTTTTTACTCAGTGTGTTTCCTGACTGCCCGCTAGGCAGTATGAGGAGTGGGACTGAATAAAAGAAGGGCTGAGGCAGTGATATCCCTTATGATTTTTGGGGGGATAGAAAGGCTCAGAATTGCAGAAATGCCACTTCTTCCCAAAAGGAAAACTGATCAGCATTTCAACAGATATTTCATGGAGTTTGACAAGCTCATTCTGAAGTTCAGCTGGAATCATACTCTGCAAGGAAATTTGGGGAAAAAAATTCAAAGGGATGGGCTTGGCCCCTTTGAAAACATAATATAAAGCTAATCAAAACAAGGTGGTGTTAGCATGCAAAAGGGTATATATATCAGTTAGAATGAAGAGTCTCCAAACAGATCTTTATATATGTGTAATATATATAAAATAGGGGTGGCAAGTTGAATCAGATATAGTATTGGGTCAGTTGGTATTCAACTGGGGAAAAAGTTGGATTCATACCACTTCCATATACAGAAATAAATTCCAGATGATATAAAAGATGTTATTTTTTAAAAAAAAAACTAGAAAGGACAATGTTCCATAATCATAGGGTGGGGAGAGAATTCCCAAGCAAGCCACAAAACCCAAAATGTAAAGGAAAGGAGTTTGACTAAATGTTCACTAAAAAGTAAAGGTTTAGTAAAAGAGATATCATTAACAAAGTTAAAAGACCAGTGTCTTTTACACTTGCAATCTGTGTAATAGGCAGCAGATTAAATCTAGATTACAGACCAATAAAAGAAAGATAAACAACCAAATATGAAAAATAGACAAAGAATTCAAAGGGTTACACAAGAGAGATGTAACAAAAAAAGTTTTCAGCCTTAATCAAGAATAAAGAAATGCTAGTGATGCG